ACACAAACAAGTTTTATTAAAAAGAACCGACAAGTTATGTCTTTTGTATTATGCATTGTAATTAAAATTGTGAATATACTGTCTCGAAATTCATGTTGTGTTGTCTTGTTTAACTGAACTTCGTACAGTTATACATAATTTTAATCACAATCACAATACACAACACCTTATTCGAAAATTGGAAAAATGCAGCATATATATATATATATATATATATATATATATATATATATATATATATATATATATATATATATATAAAGTATGTGTATGCGTCAATTATTAATTCAAACAAGATAAAAAAAGAACCAATAAGGTCTGTTTATATTTTTTTATTGCATTTTTCCCATTTTCGAAAAGGTATTGTATATTGTGATTAAAATTATGGATAACTGTATGAAATTCATTTGAACAAGACAACACAACTTAAACGCCCATTTATTTTAAACAGTACTTTAATTCGTCAACCTGTCTGAAAATTCGAGAAAATTTCTGCCGGAGGGCGCATTATTCTTTAATAAGAGTTCTCGAATTTTCTGGCTGGTAGACGGAATAAAATACTGTTTAAAATAAATGTTGCGTCTACTCAGAGAGACTTAATAAAGAGATTATGCACTAGAGTATGGTGTGAACCTGTCCTCCTTTAATCCGGTGTGCTTTAGACCGTTCGGCTACAGAAAGCGTCACAGCCCATCAAGTTTCAATTACCGTTTTGAAAAATGCGCCGAGCGGTAGACGAAGAGTGTCTACTAAAACATGGGTATAAATAAAAATAAGGTTTGAGATTGTAGTTCTATGTCATTATGAGAAACCACTTTTAAGCATGGCGTTCTTTAAGCTACGGAATGCCATTGTAGAAAAGCCATACTCAATTACCTTATTTTAAAAAATAAATTTCTCTTGTTGGTACATTACAAAAATAAATTTAACCTATGAAGAAAGACGTATTTTCATATATATATATATATATATATATATATATATATATATATATATATATATATATATACAGAGAGCGAGACAGAGAGAAAGGCAGTCTGAAAGATGAGCATATCATAAAGTAAACATACGTAAGATTGTTATTAATTCTAATCAATCATAGTGCGCGAACGTTTAGCGGTATCGATTCCCAGCATGACACTCGTAAATTTCGGTATTTGTACCAGGAATTTATGAACTAGATAATCCTTTTTCATAGGTACCTCCGAAGATTCGCTAAAAATACATGATAAAAAATACATTTTAAAAATTTTATCGTCAAAGTTTTTGTTATTATTAAGAGGAATGGTCAAAGGATTTTTTATGTAATTTGTTAAAAATCCTTTTTAGATCCTTCGAAATTTTCGTTAAAAATCTTCTTTCTACGGTCTCAAGGTTGTACCATAAATTAGTATGGGAAATTTTAGTGTCTTTTTTTCCTGTGAAAAACACTGATTTGGAAATTCTTGCAAAAATCAGATAATTATCGGCTTTTAATGAAACTTTCAGGACATTTACAAATGAATTAAATTATTTTAGAAACCTAAAAAGCGAACAATTTTATAAATATATTTTTTGCATCGTTTAATTTCCACTTATTTAATTTTACGAAATGTCGAAAAATTCTTTTCTGTTGCGCTTAATATTTAGATTAGTTATATGGATAACCATTTTGGTTAAACAGGACTCCCAGTTAGAAAATCTGTTCTGAACCATAAAATAAAAAATGCAATAAAACTAAGACATTATTTAATTAAAAAATCTTTTGCTTGCTTTTATGTACACAGCATATTATGGACACAATTGTCTTAAGAAAATTTTTTGATGAATAATGAATTTTACAAGAATTGCTTTCATTTTTTTCATTTTAATTAGAGTAATTTATAAACTTTTAAATTTCTTTAAATTCTGTATTAATTTGTAGTGGTCAAGTGATAATCGTATTGAATTAAAACTGTATTTGTTAATCATAAACGAAAAAGCTCACTACAATTCAACGAACCCCAATATTTTAAAAAGAATTTTGAATTTTTTTATGTCTCTATGAAGTATAGCGAATTTTTCACAATACGGAAGTCCAAACGCGATATTATCAGAAAATAAGAGCGATAACTATAGTAAAGTTAATAATTTATGGGTAATTTTTTAACATTTCCTCAATATGTGTCTTCGAAAGTTCGACTATGAAGTCAAAGTATTTAAAATTCAATAAAATATTAGCTGGCTTAGGATATTTTAAATATTTAAGATTACTAGTTATATATATATATATATATATATATATATATATATATATATATATATATATATAAAAGGCGCTCACGTTATATTCTTAAAGTAAATTTTACAGTTATGTCCCCTTTAGAAAAATTCCCAAATATAAATCTATAAAAATACCAATCATCGTATTAAAAATGCTTTTCTACGATATTTAAACTAAAAGTAAGAAATAGTTTTTGAAATCAGATTTATTTAAATTAGCTAATATTCTACCGAGTAAAGCTTCAGAAAAGTATATTTTATTTTTAAAAGTTTTTTAAATAAAGAAAGTTACGCTGTATTTATTGCCGATTTTAGCGTTTTTACTGATAAAAAACTCATTTCAATCAATTTGAATTCAGCTTGAAATATAACAAAGTATTTTGTTTAGTTGAAATATTAAATTTAATCTATTAGCTTGAAATTAAAACTAAAATAAAAGCTTTAAGAAAGATTTTTCATTTCTAAAAATACATTTTAAAACCTTAGGTATAGTTTTTTCTTTGGAGATACGTACCTTTTGCATATACTTTCACTTGTACGAATAAACAAGTCCGACGTGCCTAGGGACGAATGAACTCTGACCGTAAACAGACAGGGATCGAGTAAGGATTTGTTTGGTTAACTTGAAAATAATTCAGATTCTCCACTGATTTCTGAAGAAAATGGTCTGTTACTGAAATTAGCAGTTTTAAGTCTACTGGGAATATTTGAGCTGCTTTTTTAAACTGAATGTCAACGCTTATGGCGAATAAAAAGATGTTTACGCTGAAAACGAGACTGTTTTCAATTTGTTTGTCTTCATGTTTCATCGGTTCATCTCTCTCGTAAACGCGCACACACTCATGCACTCTTTCTTTCTCTCTCTTTCTCTCTCTCTCTCTCTCTCTCTCACACACACACACACACACACATACACACATAAGTGCGAGTGCGCACTCATTCTCTTTCTTACGTGCTCATCCAATTTGGGATGAGAGAGAAGATTCTCGATCAGTGCATAGAGTGATTTGATTTATTTACTGCAGATAGAGGCGAACACAGAATAACAAATACATCTACATCGCACAAATGTGGCTGAATGTCTTGTAAAAACACAGATTATATTATTCAATAAGATTTATTAATATTTATTTATTTAAACCGCTGTTTTCGACCAAATGTATATCGTCACACACGTTCAATTAGGTTTGAAAACCATGCATAAATTTACACATGATGAGTCCCAAATATAGGACAAAACGGCCCTCCAGTGCTTTCTGCATTCTATTGAGGTTTCTTTCAGACTCGATGAAATAATTATATATATATATATATATATATATAGTCATCCACAGACAGACTGTTTCGCTGTATCACAGGTCATCAGTGTGGCTAGACGTCCGGTTGCCTCTAGCTAGGATCGAAACCCGACTGAATTGGTGTCAGGTGAAATTAAGGGTATTTATTTTTAGCTAAACACACAGTAACTGAGAGAACTCGACTCGATTTACCGAAGAGTCTTGTATAATATATCGACGACGACCAATATAATAAAGAAACTTCCAAATGTTGGACAGTTTTTGTCTTTATTTTCTCTTGAAACTAAAGCCATTATATGATGCTTGGAAAGGTTCATGATGAAACATAATAGACATTCGTTGTCTGTTATATTTAACAATATATGTTTGAGCAATGATCTGCTGCCCTATACACTATATATATATATATATATATATATATATATATATATATATATATATATATATATATATATATATATAGGTGGGGAGGGGTAGATGCGATTGGCAACCGTAAACTATAGAAGAACTTAAAATTGATCGCTGCATTTAAGTATTGCATGAATATTTAAGTTTACCTTTTAAAAGTTCAACGATAATTCTTCTGTCGCCACTTAATTTAAACACAATTTGATGTACGTAGGTCCTTATTCTCGTACAAAGAATTATTTTTATTTCCTGAGTGACTTTCGCTTGCTTTTGTAATTCATTTCTATTATTTCAAAATTTATTTCCAAGTTATAAAAATTGTTATCGTACAAAAACATTCGTCGCAAAAAGAATCACGTAAAAAAAAAAAAATACGAGTAATGAAAATTTTGGAATCCAAAATTTCGGGATTGTGTGTCCGGATTCGAACCGGGATGTTTTAAATTTGCTAACGGAGTCAGCCTGATTCCAAAATGGTATGATATATTAGGCTACGGCCCCTAGGAGTAAAGTTGAAAAGGTGTGACACAGTGACACACTGACATTCGCATTTATTATATAAGCTTTATTCTCTGAAAATACGCCTTGTATACAATGTGTAATTATATTCTGCAAGTTAACGTTTCCCAATAAAATTAGTATTAACTAACTGATGACTATAAAATTTGTAAGATACATTTATATTTATATGAGCGATATATCATGTGAGTTTCCGATTCTAATATATACCCATGTTAGAAGTATTGATAATAACTTGGGAATGTTAGATTTGACGCTGAAGGCATTTTTACTTATACATCTATCCAAAAGATATAAATCACAGAAACATGTATTCAACCAAAGCAATATTCTATTTACCTGAATAAATTATTTTATAATTACACATATTAATATTAGGAAATTAATGAAAAGTAGGAAAAAAATTTCGTGTGACGCGTTTCGCACTTTAGGACTTCATCAGACGTTTCCGTATGTTTCATTAAAATATTTCGGTGGTCGTTCTATATATTCTATTTGATAGACTCAGGGTTCTGAAATAATGTTAGCTCTTAGCTCTTTAGTTTATACTGATTATATTTTTAACTGTTCGTTGATGTGTGATAATTCTATCTATCTATCTATCTATCTATCTATCTATCTATCTATCTATCTATGCGATAGTCAATTTCATGCTTTAAATGTCGTCTGATGAACGCTTAAGTGACAGTCCCTATGCGGTCCTGATGTTTATGTCGACATTGTTTACATATACAAACGGTCTTTCCACGATACTGAGAGCTCCTTATAAATATAGCGAAAATTAACCTATATACTGAGTAATCTCTATTGGGGATCCATCCTTTGTACAATGAGATACTATTCAAAAAGTTCCTTCTAGAAGGATGCACTTCCACACACGAACATACGTGGATAATACAGCCGTCGACTTCCACCTGTTCTTCATCATGATACTGGGATCTTCACCGTATATCTCTCCAATTTCACTCGCTACAAACACAAGATCTTGTAAAAATAAATACCATTTTCTCAACACTAGAACATACGCATACACATGTTTTATATAAATATTAGTACGGGCACATGTGGTCTCCGTCATGACATGACAACTATCATAACCATACAACATATATATATATATATATATATATATATGTATGTATGTGTGTGTGTGTGTGTGTGTGTGTGTGTGTGTGTGTGTGTGTCTAAGGTATATTTAGGCAGCAAGTATTCATCCAAACTTTTTTGATTAAAAGGAACTGATAATTTCTGCCTGTTTAATTTTTTTCATGTATGTTTCTGATATGTCCTGGAAAGGGATATATTTGAACGAAGTAGCTAAGTGATTTTGGCTACTATAACCAAATAGAATATGGTAGCAGTAATCGTCTGGTACGAGTCGTAGTCGCAGGTAAGAAGTGTAGATCAATGGCGTAGTCCAATGGGCGTCGTTATAGACTTAGACTTTCAGTCTAAGGCTCTTTTGACTCTGTCGTACCTACACGACCGTCGGGATTAATGACGGACACCAGCCAATCATATTCCAGTGAGGGGGAACACAGGTGTACGCATATTCCATTATATCAGTTTCCAATTTGCGAATACGGTGTTAAGTAGTGTGCTCGAATTTGTGGATAAACTGTTGGAAGTTCCTATTGTGTTAGTGTTATGTTCAAGGACTTTCGATCAGCTCTGTCATTTTCAAGAACCAATGTAGTGTCTGTGTGCTATGCAGAATTTTTTTGTCTACATCATTGTATTCTTTGGAAAGTTGGAAGTTTGAAATTCCAGATGGAAATCTTTACTTTCTGTCTCTTATAAAAAAAAAAAAAAAAAAAAAAATGAAATTTAGAAAAATTAACAAAGGAATGCTTAGCATTAAGTCAATGCTGCTGATTTACTTTTTTCTTTCCTTTCTTACTTTTTTTTTTTAATATCATATTCCTTCAGGACGTAGGCGATCATGGGTCTTAACAGATTCCTTTCTTTATTTGTTATGACTTCTTCTGAGAGAGTGTGTAATTATTTCCCTTTGCCTTCTCTACGATTTTAAATTCAGGACAGTTCCTCTTCGAAGCAAGCTGCTATATACAAGACTAAAGAGCCATATTAACCCTGCTATTTAACCCATATATTGAGGGAGAAAAATAGGTCTAAGCCTTTCCCAATGCGAAAGTGAATACAGCAGACTAAACCGGAATTTGAACGCGGTTCTTTGATTCCACTTTTCCCGCCAATAACTGTTATGCTAGCCGCATATTCGCCTTTTCCTTTATTTGCTCAATAAATCACTTGTACAAAAAAAAAAACATTCCCTCGCATCTGGTGGCGGCGTCCGATGCTCCTGGATGTCTTCACATGAACCTTACTGAATGTACCGGCAAGTTTTAACGCTTCAAATCCAACCTGTCGCCCGGAGAAGACTCACTCTACCAACTATTAACTAAAAGGCTAATCATAAGTCATAGAAATACCACTTTACAAGCAACTATGGAGATAAAAATTTCTTGAAAAGAAAGAAAAGGGTCTGGCATGACAGCAGAAGCGTTTTGAGACTAGTGTTTTGTTTTCTCTTTTACTAAACCCCGATGGACCAAACGCGCACAGAACTGATGTGGTCTGACGCCTGGAAAACGTTTTTCTTTGATTCAAAAAGATAGGAAGTGATACTTTAGTCCAAACAGGTCTCATTTCTCTCCCACACCAGTGGTGAGTGGCCGGATAAGATGACTGGCTTCTTGTGAGATTGACTGGCACCAGTAATAGGATTTGAATGGACGGCTTCAAGGGTGTTGAAGGAACTACCCGCTGATTTTGACGAGTGGCTTTAATCTTCTTTTCAAGTGTTAACAAAAACAAGATAAAAACTGACCAGTGGGTCTTAGTTTATTGCTCGTATCTTTAATACTTTTAACATCAATATATATATATATATATATATATATATATATATATATATATACATTTCAATTTTAAAAGTATAAACATCGACTGAATGCAAAATGCAGGCCTGAATTTTGTCTAGAATCCATGGAAACCAATATTTATAATTTGTCACGTATTATTTTTTTTATTATTGCATAAATATATTAAACATTTTTTCATATTGTTCGAATTACATAATTCCTATACGCGCATATATCAGTCAGATATGTGACATACGTGATACACGCTTAGGCGATCATGTATCTTTCGATACATGACTGACAAGACAGTTTTTTTCCCGCAGTAGGTTGCCATTTCTAACTGCTGCGGATCAGTTGCCATCCAAGGCTACAGAACCTGGTCTGCCCTGCTATTTACTCATAGCCGGAGGAAGAAGAAAAGGGTTCATACCTTTCCTAAAGTTATTAGCACGTAAGTGACTGTAATGGATTTTGACTGGAATTCGAACTAGGCTCTCTGATTCATCAATCCGAGATACTTATCCATTACTCCACCAAGCATACTTGATATATATATATATATATATATATATATATATATATATATATATATATATATATATATATATATATATATATATATATATATATATATATATATATATATATATATGAATTATTCATACAAAAACAAATACAAAGGTTAATGATTAAATTGGCGAGAAATCCATCGTCGCGAACAATTCAAATAATATACAAAAACCCCGAACCTGTTATGAATGAAAAGATCCTTGTTTTTATAAATTTCTGTTGCATTAATTCTTATTTTTACTACAAGCTTTCGTCTGTTCCTACAGACATCTTCAGGTATGGAATAGATGTTGTTCTTGTTTTTTTCTCTCAGTAATAAGAGGACAACGAAAATATATGTATTGTTGTATCCGAAAAATGCTATTGTTTTTGGAGCGTGCAGTAGCAACGCTGAGTTTGATTTTAAATTTTACAATTGTGCGTTCTTGTACAAATATGGTGATAAGCGAATTCTTTTTTACTGGTAAATTTTCTGTCAAAGTGGCATGAACTATATTGTTCAATAATTACAGTAATGTCGCACTTATTATCCAAAAGTTGCACTTGGATCAGTTATTTTAATTTCAATAAAGGTGCAATTAATTTACAAATTCATGAATTATTCATACAAAAACAAATACAATATATATATATATATATATATATATGAAATGTGTGTGTGCCTGAGTCGGCGTCTGCAACATGAATTAACTAACCATTCTAGCATATATATATATATTGTTATACATCTGCATACAAATGAACGGCTAATCGTCTTCTGAGCTCACTCGTCTGCTAGGGTTGTTAGCTAATTCCTATTGCAAACGCCGGCTCAGGCACATTTTTGTTTGTTTAACCCCCACAGAGCCGACTTGTGGTTTATACTGTGATTATGCTGAGTGGACCTTCTTTGCAGTTTCTGGAAGAGAGAACGCATAATTTGGCATGATCAGCAATTTGAACAACACCAGTACGTTCAAACCCTCGATCACGATGAATCGTTACTTCGTGTTAGTACAACCATCGACGGCTTCCGAACAGTTGCGTCGACTCACTTTCATTCTCATAAGGTTTGGGGTCAACCCTTAGTATGGTTTTCATGCACTTCCTAAAGGTACCGTACGATAGGATCGTCTCCAGCCTCAATAAGCCACCTTCCTGACAATTCGACCATGACGAGAATCGAAACCGGTTTTCACGGTCGGAACGTTCTAATCACCCAGCCGAGACCCCATATACATACGTAATAGTAATAGCTGATCACTTGTATTCGTATTTAAGGATACCCGTCTACTAGAGCGGCTAGCCAATCCCTATCGCTCAGGCACATTTGTGTTTGCTCAACACCCACACAGTCCACTTGTGGTTTATACTGCAACTATGCTGAGCAGACTTTAGTTACAATTTCTGGGAGGGAGCGTGTTATCTAGCGTGATCAAGGCCATCACACTCAAGCACTCGGCTACGATGACTTGTGGCTTTGTGCTAACACAGCTATCGACGGCCCTCAAGAGTTCCGTCTACCCAATTTCCCTCACAAGGCTTAAGTCAACTCGTGGCATGGTTTTCAGGCACTTTCCTCGATCCATTCCGATAACAACGGGAAGTCTCCTTCCCGACAAATCGACCTATAGTGAGATTCGAACCCGGGTCACATGGTCATACGTACATATAAACATAGAGGCACATGCATATAAATGTGGTGTCGCCCATTTCATTTCTTATCTGCATACTGGTAGTTTGTTGTTTACGTATCCTGTATGAATTCACTAGTATGAATATTCACTAGACTTTTGGGATCTAGCTTTATAATTCTTCTTCTTCTTCTTCTTCTTCTTCTTCTTCTTCTTCTTCTTCTATGTGCTGTGTCCCCTCAGGATGTGAGTGATCATGGCTCTCTACAACTTCCTGTCACTCTTAGTAGAGTTTACCTTTGCTATGTTTCCTAATCTCCGTTTTGCTAGCCATTTACACGAGTCCCTTAGGTAGGTTATGCGCTACTTTCCTCTGTCCCCTTTACCTTCAATCTGTCCCCTTTACCTTCAATCTGTCCCCTTTACCTTCAATATTTCCTGTGGGTGTCAAATTCTCCAAGTTCTCTTTCCTCATTATGTGCTCTAGAAATTTCAACTGTCTGTTTCTGATTCTAAGTATAATTGTTCTTTTTACTTCCATTTTCCCTAAAACTTCGTCGCTGCTCACATGTTCTCAGCATCCTTCAGTAGAACTAAATATA